GATGGACCAAAAGGGCTGCCTGGACCAGCGGGAGTGCAGGGAGCACAGGGTGAAAAAGGAGAGACGGGACCTAGGGGACCACAGGGAGCAGACCAAGGGTAAAAGCAACGGCAATGGAATTTGCCGGAGATATCGAATCAATCCCTCTCAATGATATTATTCTCTCATTTCGATTGTTTTTGCTTGCACCAACCTATCATTGACAACTCTTCTCACTCTGTCGCAAGATTTGTAGGCCTGAAATCGATGCTCTACAGAATTTGCATAATTTATCATTATAAATGAAATTTCATAAACAATCTTCCAATTTGTTTTATGGGCTAATTGAAACACTGCAAATATGTAATTCAATTTAGGATTTGAATTAATGGAAACTTTGCGGCATTTATTGCACTCGAATATTGAATGTTTTGTTTTGTTTTTTCATTTTGAGAGAAGCAATAGCGTAAATGCACAAAGTAGTCCGGATTCTATCCAAAATTGCGGATAACTTGCAAAAATTTCCGTTGTTAAGGAATATAAATGATGCTAACGTGAAAATGGCTTAAAATATAGCAATATCAGATACTGTTAAACTTTGACAGCTTAATGAGATGTTGCACTACTAGACCGATTAGCGAGTAAGCTTACCGAGAATTCTCGTCCAGTTGGATTGTTGAGGGCGGACAACGAGTTAAAAGTATTCGTAGAAATTGCCTAATTATATATTTTATAAGAAAAAATGCAAATAAGTTGAGAATCGACAAAAGTCATTCTTTAATAAAAATCTCGCAAAAAAGTACAAAAATTCGAAATGAGATTTGATGAAAGGAATTTCAAAAAGAATTTCTATTTATATGGGAAACTGATCCTCTGATATGAATCATTCCCAAATTCATAAAATAAAGAAACATAAATTCGTCATCTCATGAAACTGTAAAATTTTAACAATGTTTGATATTTTTATATTTTAAGCCATTTTCATCATTATCATTACATTTAGATTTCTTAAGTTATAACAACAGAAATTTTTGTAAGTTGTCCGTGGTTTTGGATAGATTCCGGATTCTTTTTATATTTACCAGTATTACTTCTCTCAAAAGAACAAAACAAAATATGCAGTATTCGAGCACAATAAATGCCGCAAAGTTTCAATTAATTGCAATGTTTTGATATCCTAAATTGAAATACATGTCTGAAGTATTTCATAAAACAAATTGGGAAATTATATGAACTTTAGATCGGTGGGAAAGAATTGAAATAAAAGAATCATTGAGAGGCATTGTTTCGATACTTCCCAGAAATTCCATTGTCGTTGCTTT